ACGCCCACGATGCAAGAGCAGGCATGGGCGGCGTATATGGTACAAGCAGAGCGTGTGCGAGGGCAGCGGAGCCGTCGGCTGCCGTGCGACGCTCGCGGGGAGATGACGCACCTGACAGAATGCGTAATCGGGGGACTGCTGGAGCCATGTTGGGAGCGCCTTAGGGTGGGCCGCGAGGTGACAGGCGACAGCGGCGGTGTGGTGAGGGTGAGGAGAGCCAAAAAGTTGGCGTTGGGAGCGCGCTTCGATGTAGCGCAATTGGCGGGCAACAACGGACAGCGGCAGGTGAATTATCGATTAAGATAGTAGCGGAAACGAGTGTGCGGCGGCCTGGGAGATGAATCACTGGGGCGACTCGTAGCAGAACATTAAGAGAGAGGCGCGGGTGAGGAGGCAGGACGGGACAAGACCAGACGGACTGGGTCGTGACGGGCGCAGACGGCGGAGGGTCAGGAAGCTACCACGACTGCTGGCGTCGGGTCAGCGTGAGAAGGAGCGCACGGCGGGACGCGGGTTCCACGGCAGAGTCTCTACAAAGCGAGCGGACGCAGGCAGCAAAGATGCAGTGCAGGGCAGAGGACAGAGGATGGGTGAGGATGCTGGGTGTCGAGGCAGCGGTAGCGGTAGCGGTAGCAGACAAGCAAGCAAGTGCAAGCAAGGTTGATGCGCTGCCACGCAGACTGGCTTGATATCCCGCTGACTGCCTGCTGGTGCCCACTAGAATGCTTTGGGCACAGGCCCTGCACTTATCGCTGTCGACGCCAAATCCATCGCTGATTTATTATGGGCGGGGCCGTGCCCGTCGTCATTGTTTTTTTGCTTCATAAAAAGGCATATGCGCGGCGTGGCGTGCACATTGCGCTCACGGTGCTCATGATTGCGACAGCGCGAACGCAGATCACGGATAGGTTGCCATTGCCTCTGCGACGCGCTGCAAACTGAGTGTTTTGTTAAGCGTCTTGCTGAGAAAACGCTGGAAACACGCTGGAAACAAATCCACCTCGCAAGCCCTGGCTGCTGGATGCGTGCGCGGCATCATCCCGGCGAGCCATGGAGATCCGCTTCGCCCACATGCACTCGACGATCTGAAGCCTTCGCCTATCACGAAAACCTGCTGCACCTCGCGCTTGGTGTCGAGCGCGCCGGCCATGGCTAGCTTTATGTCGCCCTTCATACACGGCGCTGGCACGCTGCCTCAACCACCTGCGCGCGTCTGGTTCACAACTCACCACCGTCAGCGCCAGCCCGCAACCGTGCTAGGCCCAATCAAACTCGCGTGCTAGTCGTCACTGCAGCTCCGCGCGTCTGACGTCGACGTTCGCTACGTCTGGGCCAAGACCAGACCGTCCCAACGCCTATTCCACCGTCGAACTGGGGGCCGTGCGACCGCTGTCAATTCCCATCCTTGGTCCATCTCTCAACGGGCAGCCTGAAAATCCTCTAAAAGGGGCTGCCACTGTCCGAGATACAGCCCCGCCCAGATAGGGCTATGGCTAATTTCCACCTGGGCCGTTTGCACTGCTCGGAGCTTCATTACGCCCGCTGCTGCTCCGTCGAGTTTAGTCCTCGCGCAGCCTTACTCAGTGGAATAACCAGTGGGCCTAGCTGTACCTTGGACTCGGTCTTTTCACCACCACCTCACCGCGAGCGGCAGTGCCGCCCGGAGCCACTACCGTACCATTTCCTGCGACTAAACCCACCGACTGGAAATGCACGGCTCGACTTGCTTCCCGCACCCGAGCCGCGTTGCGAGCTTACAAAATCAGACCAGAACTGGAGCGCCCAACATAGCCCCGGGTACATGTGCCAGCAGCCAACACAACAGCAGCAATACACAGCGCTCGCCGTGTCTGAGGTTGAGCAACCCATCAATCTGCACTCCAATAATTAGCTGTCGCTCTTGCCACATTCTAATACGCCACCAGCTGCGTCGACCACTGTCAGCAGCCTGTGATATCGCCGCATGCAGCAGATCCGCGACTTGCTCCTGGATAGGACATCTCGCCAAGACATGCGCGAATCACTGTCCATGATCACTGCTTCCTTCGCCTACTCCGTGTATTCCTACCCGCACAACTGAGCTTCAACAGCTTCACATAATCAAACTGTGCGAGTTTATCTGGAAGCGAAGCCATCGCTCTCGCGCGGTCGACACCCGACCCACTGCGATCGAGATCTCGCTTCAGACGCGACCGCTCCTTCCTCGCCCATCTCATCTCTGCCAGTTGCACTTGCTCGGTGGTCGCTCCTTCTACTTCCGTTACGTATCACATCAACGCTAGCCTTCACTTACTTAGCCCACTCTTTGGACTCGCCCACGGTCTCCTTTCTCACCATGGTACGTCTTACATACAGAAGTTGCCGCGCGATGCCGGTGACTCTGACAGCGGGCGCCAGGAGGCGGGAATCACTACCACTCCATTTCGTCCGTCAACGTTGAAAAGCTTAACGCCTTAACCTAGCTAAGCAATCGCGCCTTTGGTGTTCCCTGCGCGCGGGGCAGGGGATCCCGTATTCGTATCCTCCCGCTGCGTTGGAAGCAGTCGAACTACTAGCAGACGGTGGACGTGGAAAACGCGTCCAGCTAGGAGGCACGCGTTCCGGCCAACGGTCGCTCAGCATGTTCCATAACACGCGTCGTATACACGGGGAGCGGGACAGCCTAGATGTTTCAACCGCTAACACAGCATTCATACGCGCTAACACTACAGTCAAGACGCCACATGAATGCGATCGAACATGTATGGGAAATGGCGACTGCGATTTTGCAAGCCTGCCTATAATGCAAACCCCTACCATATGCGGTGAGGCAACCGCTTTCGGAACGCGATCTCAAAATAGATCCCTTCCCCTCTGCCCATCACTTTACACGCTGCCTGAAGCTTCATCTGCAAAGGGGCGACACGGCTCGCTCCATTATCAGCAAATCGATTTGACAGACGTCTCGCGATAGTCACTGCATTATTGAAACACGACTCTGCATCTCGTTACCTCTTATCGAATCACAAACTATGTGGCTTTAGCCTTCTGACATTTCGCTACCCATGTCTCATTTCAACCTCACTAACCGCTTCTGAGATCCTCGCTCGTGCTCCTGAGCGCCGCCCCGCCACGCGAGTCACTCTGCTCTTGTTCCTGACATGTGGCGCCACTGCGGCCCGGCAATGTGCGCGGCTGCCGAACAAGGGACTGGGTCGCCGCTGTCGATCTTCACATCACGAATTTCCGCAATAGAAATATCGAAATAGCAACGCGGTGATCATCGCCTTATGTTGAGCCCGACCTTATGGATGGTGGTCGCGATACGCGGCAGGCCCCTCCAAACCTTTGTCTCCCGCACACACCGCCTACCAACTTTACCAACTTCTGTCTGTCGGCTAAAGAGAGACCAATAGTCCCTGATGTTGACAAAATACCAGTGATCTTCATTTCACCAATCGTCTCGTTTAGGGGCACCCGCGGCTCGTATCGCTTGCTCGGAACTTGTCGCAGCCGTGCTCTATGCTCCGCAACCATATTTTGACGTCTATCAAATCTTATTGATGTGATATGCAGGTACGGACATGCCGTTGATGCTCGAACGGGAGTTGCAGAAGCGAGATGAGCTTTGGTAGCAGCCCTTGCCCGTGAGAGCGTTCAGCATATGGAACCCGCAGGCATCCCGCCAACTTTTCTCCGCTGACCTGCCGCACCAACAACTGTGCTCATATCGGATATGAGTAATCTATGCGATACCCATAGTATAGCCAGACGTAGTATACACCAAGTGGAGAGCGAATCTTATGTCATGTTCTGGTTATGTATCGGCTCGTAGATCGGTACATGTTCCCCGTGAACATATAGACTGGGGGCTTGCTTATAGCTGATATGCGGCTCGGGGCCCGCGATCTAGAGAAGAGAAGCTGTTTCCTGATCTACATTCGTAAAGCACAGTCTCTGTCGCAGCGACTCTATCATCCTCGCTACAAGATTGGCCGACTATCTTACAAGTTCTTCAAGAGGATTACATGAGTCTGGTAGGCACAACACGAAATACCGAAGCCTTCAAGCTCATGGTAGGATCATGCCGTTTCCGAAACCAAGCCATTGCTAGAATCTGTAGTCGCGTTTGCTGTATGGTGTTCTGACTGGTCGGTTCCAAATGGAACATTAACACGAAACTCCACAGCTTTTCGACACTGCTCAGAGTAGGCTGAACGTCTGTCGCATAGTGAAACCGCTTATAAATTCCCCGCACAACCTCGAGAGCAAGCAAACATGTATCTAGCAGCCTTTCCCTACAGAATCACGTCTCAGCCCTCGGTAACACCATGAAAGAACACTTCAAGCACACCCGACTCCCGTCCCACGCGTTCGGTAACCCATCCACAAGCCATCTGTACTTTTCTCTACCAAAATGCACATATGCCCTTTTCAGACAACTGATCTACAGACCCTGAAGCGACGATAGTCGCTTACTGCGGCAGTAGCCGTGGTTGAGGAAGAAGCAAACGGGAAAAGCCCTCTTCTAGCCTGCACGCTCGAGCACGAATGAGCCTATAATTAGGAATACGCTGAGAGAGACAGAGCTTCGGACTCCGATGTCCTTTCCATTTCTTCTTTGGCACGCGGCACTCTTCGGAAGCAGGGCGTGTTGGGCCTGCTTCTGCGATTGCCCGAGCCGAGAGAATGTCGTGCTCAGCCAAAGCAATGCGGGTAGGAGAAAAAGGAACGAGGTACACTGTCATGTTCGTGCGTGATGTCTAGAGCGTCGGAACGTTGAGATCACATTTGCGCAAAAGAAGTTATTGTGGACAGAAGATTCGCATATCAATTTCTTTGGTTCCTCTCATAGCGAGATAATAACTCTTGAAGACTGGAATTCAGAACAGCCTTCACCAACTTAAGAACCACCTTGCGCCGTTGCTTACGTGTTCATTGCACCGAAGGTCAATCGTGACTTTTGTCCAAAAGAAAGAACCCTCTCCTGCACCTTTTCCGTCACTCCGTCCGGGCGGATTTTAGTTGTCCATGTAGGTGGACGAGTTGATACCATCCTCGGGGAACTCAGGAAGCTCGACCTGGAAGCGCTCTTCGATCGACTTGAGGACAGCCTCGTCGTCTGGGCTGCTCACAAACGAGATACTGAGACCCTTGGTTCCGAAACGACCGGCACGACCGACGCGGTGGAGGTAGGCATCGGCCTTGTCGGGCATGTCGTAGTTGATGGCCACGTTGATGCGCTCGACGTCGATACCACGACCGAAGATGTCGGTGGAGACACAGATACGGGTCTGGAACTCCTTGAACTCCTTGTAGCGCTTGATACTAGAAAAGAATTAGTTTTGAGCTAGCGAGTGGAGTACAGTTGAGTACATACCGCTCTTCTTGGCTGATGCCAGAGTGAACAGCAGTGCTGGGGAAGTTGCACTCGCGGAGAAGCTTGTCGAGCTCGGAGCAGCGCAGAGTGGAGCGAACGAAGATGATGACCTGGTTGAACTCCAAGCTGTCGAGAAGGTCGTTAAGCTTGCGGTTCTTCTCCTTCTCGTCAAGCTTCATGTAGTACTGCTGGAGACCGTGAAGCGTCAACTTCTTCTCGTCATCGACGTAGATCTCGAGCGGGTTCTGCATGAACTTCTTGCAAACAACGCGCACCTCCTTGTTGAGGGTGGCGGAGAACATCATCACCTGCTTGTGCTGGGGTGTAGCGCGGAAGATGGCTTGAACGTCGTTGCGCATGTCTGCAAAGGGTTAGCGGAAGTCGGCCAGGACAGACGGTTTGTACTAACCGGGCTGGTCCAACATCTTGTCGCACTCATCGAGGACGAAGTGCTTCAGGTTGGCGAGGCGGAGATGCCTATCGCGGACGAGGGCGTTGATACGACCGGGAGTACCGACGATGATGTGAGGGTGAGTGTCCTTGTTGCTAAGGAGCTCGATGTCCTTCTGAACGGGAGTTCCTCCGTAGAAGACACCAACCTTGACGTCAGGCAAGAACTTGGCGAAGCGGTTGTACTCGTTGCGGATCTGGTAGGCCAACTCGCGAGTGTGGCACATGACCAGGATAGTGGCGGTACCGGGCTCGGGCTTCTCGTCCATCTGCTGAAGGGTTGCGAGAACGAAGACGGCAGTCTTTCCGAGACCAGACTTGGCCTGGCAGAGGACATCGTTTCCTAGGATGGCCTGGGGAATGGTAACTTGCTGGACTGTAGGGCACACGTTATGTCAGAATGGTCTTTAAAACGGTCGAAACGAAGCGTGGGAAGCGAAGCGTCCGTCCATCTTGTGTAGCCGAGGTTTTCCATCTAGCGCGCGTGCCAGTCTGTCTATCCTCCCCATACGCTCAATGGTGTGCCTCCTCCTGTACACCTGCAACATGCACTCCTCCTCTGAAACCAGTCCTTCGGGACCACGGTAGTGGGCCAATAGGCACCACTGGCTTCTCAATGCATATACCGGTGCGCCTGCGAATGCAGTGCGCGTCGACGCTCGTTGGTAGCGGAAGGCACTCGGTCCCTCGCCACTTTGCTCGAATATAGACAGACCAGGCCGCATTACAGATAGTGCTCGTTTCGTAGATGGACAGACGCTTGTAGGTGGATAAGGCTGAGGGGAATTATTAGACTAACCCTCGGAAGGATGTTCGAAGCCACAGTCCGTGATTGCTCGTACGAGCTCGTCCTTGAGCAAGAAGTCGCGGAAACCGGTCGAGTGGATGCCGACGTAGCTGCCCTTCTTGTCGCCTGCAGCATCACCGGCGGTGACGCCGCCCTTGCTTGCAGCTGCGCTGCCGTTGGCGGGCGCATCAGTCGTCTGGATCTCCTCGTCGGAGTAGTCGATGAGATCTTCCTCGTGAGACATGATGGATTATGTGTCCGTGTAGGAGTGTGTGTGGTGTGTAGAGTCGGTGATTGCGCGTGTCGCAAGTAAGGCTGCCAAACAAAGTGGAGTCGCGACGGTACCGAGGCGAGGTATTATACTAAGAGCTACGAGTAGAAGAGATCAGCAGTTGTTTCGCGATTTCACGGTAACGCGAATTCGACGAGGTTGCTGTGGCTTGAGAGGTTCGTGGTGGGCGGTGGACAAGAGCGTTCGCCGGTTGCTCATGTCGAGGTAAAAAGCTCGGGGCGCCTTGCTGGGCGCGCACTAGGCCGCAAGCGGACTGCTCTGAATCACGACCCACCACTGCCAAATCCTCTGATCTTCTATCACCTATCTGTGAAATCGTAAGCTACGTACAAGACCAGACGACAATACAGCGCAGCATCATGAGCAAGGTCAAAGCACCAAAGACGAAGGGCATCCCGAACAAGCATCTGCACGCCCGCTCGACTTTTCTCTACCAAGCAGCCACCTATCTGACGCTGCAAACGGCTACGCAAGAGGACGTCGCAGCTGATGTCGCAGGAGACAAAGACAATGGATCGATCGAGACCCCACGACATTCGCCGCTGGCACTCGAACTCGGATCCGATCTTCAACAGGTATCACGGAAAGGCCAGCTACGGCTGGCTGTCGACTTGAAGCGCTCCATGTGCAAAAGCTGTAATACAGTCCTTGTTCCTGGACGCACTCTTACTCAAAACATTGAGAACCCCAGCAAAGGCGGTAAGAAGCCTTGGGCAGATGTACTCGTCGTTACTTGTCTCATTTGTGGCGGCAAGAAGAGGTTTCCAGTGGGCGCAACAAAACAACTCAAGAAGGCTAAGAGGATGACAACCCATACAAATTCGTTATCAAAAACTGCTTCGGAAGATGGCCAATACTCAGAAACTACCTTTGCGACGGCCACTGACTGACTTGACGTCACGGTGCGATTTATTCCGCTCATTTACTACATGCCATGCCGGAATCGCTCAATTGAGGAACCCATGAAGGCCTCCAGAACTCCCAAATCGATTCACCAGGGAAGATCTGAAAGCTGCTATGGCTCAGACCGCAGAGATCACAGTGAAATACACAGGAGCATTTGCCGCCTCCCAACTATGCTCGCTCCACGCACGTCCAGTTACGCCACGAGGGGATCTAAAGTTTCGCCTGGACAACTTCTCCAGTCAAAAAGCCGAGCGAAAACATCGCATGAGAACAACTTGATCTTCACCAACCGTTCTCCTCAACGTAAACGGTCATGGATAGTCAAGCTCACAAGGAAAGTATCTCGCCTCTCCAGTCTCTGCCACAAGAGATCCTGTCAAGCGTCTGCAGTTACCTACCGCAAGGGGCTCTCTACCAACTAACCCTCGTCAACAAAGATATCGGTCAGCGCGTAGTACCAGCCCTGTACAGTTCCTTCAGCCAAAATGGAGGCGACAGCATGCAAGTTCGACAGTACTTCAGAACCGCGGTGCGGGAGCCTGAGTTAGCTGAGCATCTTCGCGAGGTTACTATTCAGGGTTCTATCAGGATAACCCACAAGCAAATGCGGAAATGCCTCCAGAAATTGGACAAAGATACCTGGGCTCATCGGCTTCACGAACAACACCCCCGTCTCGCTTACGAATATTTTCCGTATGGACCAGACCTGGCCATTGCTCTGTTACTGAGCTTGGAACCCAAGATACACTCTATTCGTGCTCTGCATCCTCCGAACCCCATAAAGAAAGGGAACACATTCAAACTCCCTATCTACCTCGAACCCATTCGGGGCATTCTGGCAGCAGGTTCTCCACTACCGCAATGGACCAATGATCTATCCACGTTAGAGATCACCGTTCGGACCATATCATGGCCGTGTATTGCCCCACTGTTCCGGCTACCGGTACTCAAGACGCTGATCCTGAACGGTGGAAGCGATTTCAACGATGCAGAAGACGACAATATGAACCACATGACTGCTACAGAGCTAGGAGCTTCGATGCAATCATGGCCAATAATAGCTCCGACTCATTCATCCCCGGTCGAGGTGCTTGACTTTGGAAGGTGGGTGGGCTCCTTGACGACGATTGCAATAGCTGTATCTGTTTGCAAATCACTGCGTGTCCTACGACATAGCGATTGCGACAATTGGGCGGCAGCTCATCATTTGCATTTACTCCAGCAGTTACATGAGCATGCGAGCACGCTGTCCACCCTCAAAACGTGCTGCTGGCACGCCCCCAAGAGCCCTTCAACTAAAGATGTGGTACTGGCGGACTTCACTGCTCTAAAAGAGCTCGAGGTGCACTATTCTCATGTCGAAGACGACCTCCTACCGCCAAATCTTTGCCGGCTCGTCGTATGCGCAACTACTCGCGACAGGAAATGCATCATAAAAGACATGGAAACACTAGCACAAAAGCTCGGCAAGCGATCAAACCTCGACGCAACACTGAAGTATCGGCACTACAGGAAGTTAGACTACAAGCTTCCAAAACTAAGCGAACTGCCATCCATATTCGCCATGTCAGATCTCAAGCTATCGCTTTACGTGTATTCTGATGTCGGCTCATCATGTAAGTTGCCCGTAGCAATGTCTCTTCAGAACGAGCTAACAGTCAGAACAGGGTCCTTGATCGCCAAGTTCGACAACAGTGCTGCACGGTTATCGCAGAGGCCTAGCAACATAGTCTCAAATGAGCTGAGAACTTGGTCGAAGCGATTAGATTCGACGTACAATTACCGGGACATTGTGCTCGAGGAGATCAAATGTATGGTCGGAAAGCACGAGAACCTTTGGAAGAGCAACGACTACGATCTTGACTTCATGCTACCTTATCTATCTAGAAACAGGTACAAGGCCTGAGGAGAGCAGTCAGTTAATACGAAAACGTGGGCGGAAGGGTTGATCTGTCACGGATTGGAAGGTGGATTGGAAGAGCACTGAATGGTAGCTCTTTCTCCAAACTTGACCTCGTTCTGAAAACATCATCGGCGCTATCTCTATGATCATCGCCTACTTACCTTCACCACCTACTACCCACCACTTCTTCCTAATCGCTCGTGAAAATTCTAATACCGACTCATAAAACGCCCACCTATTGACCTGCCACCCCTTCCGCCCCAAGACCCAGGTTCTACACATCTCAGAAACAGCACCTCCTGGTACCGAAGGCCATGGCATCCAACAACGTTGAAGACTTCAACTCATCAGCTGACTCCGAATTTCACGAGGAATACCACACCAACGAAAACGTCCGCAAGACCAGCAAAGGGAAGACTATGCTCAAGATATGCATCCTCGTTCCCTTAACCCCCTTCATAATAGCCGCGTTTGCGCTCGATGTGGGGCTCGATGTGGGAAAAATTCTCGCAGGTGAGCAAACTGCCATACTGCACTTTATGTTACGACTTTTTTGCTAAACTAGTACCTAGAGTCGCTTGTAGAAGGTGGGCAGTCAGTCAAAGGCCGGATACGGGCACACCAGGATGCAAGGGCCAGAAAGTGGCTAGGAGAAGCTGTCACTTGAGTAAGCAAGAGAGAGGAGTTCAAAGGGTTTGCTCTCGATTCAGCTCTCTATCATGCTGCCGTGTCAGCTTAGTCTTCCGCGGTACGGCTATACATCTCTTTGACGGAACGAGCCCTAAGACGAGAATGGAGATAAACATCGATACTGCGTTGTACCTAGGCTGCAATCAAGACGCTTAACTGTGCAACTAAAGCCTAGTCTACAATCGTAGTAAGAGCCTTGTGCTGTGTCCTCCATTCGGTTCACTTTCACCACTCATCATTCACATCTCACAGGCTGCAGCTTCTTCAAAAGCCACTAACAAACTATAGATCATATCACCTCAGCGACCTCTCCCTTGACACTTCAAAGCTTCGCATCCTACCTACAACAACCTGGAAAACACGAAGATGAACTATGGTCCGCCACCCCCCGGAAGCGTTCTGCCAGCTCCTCCCCATGGCACTGATGGCGGGGGCTTGGGTGCTTATTACGCCCATCTTCATCGTTGCGCCGTTTGCAGCTGCCCCCGTTTTTGCGCTCGCACAAATCTGTAGTGGTAAAATATAAGCCCTCCCTTTGCTCACATGAAGTCGGGTACTAACAGTTTGAAGTTCCAATCGCTACGGTCATCAATGCGATGTGTGAAGGAGTCGTTTACGCTGCCAAAGCAGCAAAGAAGGAAAGCTTCAACGAATACGAGGGACAGAAGTGGCATCACTGGCAGGGATATCCCGTTGACACTATCATTTGCAACGTTGATGGGGAATGTGTGGAGATCAAGATACGGGAGCGAGACGAGTAGATCATCGCCATTACGAAATGGAGGCTACAACGGGCAAATCTCTACTCCAATTGCCAGACTTGTCTACAAGTACGGATATAAAGGTCGATGTGAGCATTTTCGATTGGAAGATGATCACATCCAGTTATATGTACACGCAGTCTATCCATGTGGTATATAACAAATGTATCCCATCTTCTACAACCCCAACACACCCCTCAACCCCCTAACCTTCCCCCTCAAATCCCCATACCCCAACCAAACAATCCCCTCCGCCATCTTCCACGCCTTCTCCCCCGCCCCCTCCCCTCTCAACGGGATATCCATAGGCGGCGGAATCGCCGTCTTAATCCCCGCCCAAGCCCACCGATCCCTCGTAATACTCTTCTGATTACACAGACTCCTCAGTCCCTCTTTACCCGCAAAGCGACCATACCCACTACCCTTTGTACCGCCAAACGGCATCTGAACCATGTAGTAGACTGCAAAGTCGTTGACGGCAACCATGCCGGCTTGTAGGGAGCGGACGACGAGTTCGAGGTCGCGGGTCGAGGTACCGAAGACGGAGGAGCCGAGGGCGTAGGTGGTACTGTTGGCGATTGTGATAGCGTCTGTGACGGATTCGGCGCGCATGAGGAGGAAGACGGGGGCGAAGAGTTCGGTTTGTGCGATCTTCATGGTTGGGGTTACGTCGGCGATGAAGGTGGGTGTGAAGTAGTGGCCTTGGGGGTGGTCGGGGTGGGTGTAGCGTTTTCCACCTGCTAGGAGGCGGGCGCCGTTGTTGACGGCATCTTGGATGAGCTCTTCGAGCTTCGTGTAACTCGCGTCGGAAATCGATGCGCCGATGTCGATGGGTGTGTCTGAGGTGTTGTTGAGAATGGAGCCTGGGCGGAGTGCCTGGATCTTGGGTGCGAGGTACTCGATGAAGCGGTCGTAGACTTTGGGCAGGGCGATGACGCGCTCGATGCCGATGCAATTCTGGCCTGCAGACTGGAATGTGCCCCTCATGAGGATACTGGCAACGCGCTTGAAGTCGCTGTTGGACAGATCATCCAGTACTATTGCCGGGTCTTTGCCGCCCAATTCCACGCACACTGGTGTCAATGCCTTCGCCGCCGATGCGCAGACATGGTGGGCTACCGGTCGTGATCCAATAAAGGTTATGTGTGATATCGACGGGTGCGAAGTAAGGTGATCGGCGACGTCAGGCCAGCAGACGACAGACTGGACAATATCGGGCGAGTGACCGCATGCTTCGAGGGCGCGAGTAGCAATCGAAGCGAAGTATGACGAGGACCAGGCAGTTGCTTCAGAGCCTTTGACGATGATGGCGTTGCCGGCGAAGATGGATGCTATTACGGGGCTTATAAGGTTGTGGAAGGGGTAGCTAGAAGCCTGTTAGCCGCCATGATGAGATTCAGTGACCTTTGACACTTACTTCCAGCTCACGCAAGCCGCAACGACGCCCAGCGGCTCATAAACAACCTCATTCCACTTGTACATCATGAGGAAGTTTGTGTCCCTCTTCTCAGCCTTCAGGCTCTTTTCGCCATGTTTGATCGTCCACCTCAGCTTTTCTACCGTCACCAGGATCTCGCCCAAACTCGCGTCCACCATGGTCTTGCCAGAGTCCAGACATGCGACTCGCGCAATCTCTTCTTGGTTCTCCAGAATGAACTTAAGCATAGTGCGCAGCACCTTTCGCCTCCTGAGGAAGCTTGTCTGAGCCCATTGTACCTGGGCTGCCTTGGCTTTGGCGATTGCGCGGTCGATGCCGTCGGCCGTGGAGGGGTTGATGCGCCCAAGGGCTTCACCAGTCGCGGGAGCGTAGCATTGGATCAGGGAAGAGCCCGGTACCTGCTTAAGTCAGCTACCGAAATCAGAACATAGGGAGTTTAGTTGTACCTTCAATTGCGGCTTCTCAAGCACCTGGCCCTTCCATCCTCTGCGTGCCTGCTCAGGTGTGTCGACTTCATACTTGACAGGCTCCTCTGGATCAGCACGACAAGTAATCCATATAAAAGAGAGCGCAGCTATCCAGAGCGCGCCATACAAGGCGACATTGAAGTCGTTGTCAGCGCGTGCGGTAATGCGGTCCATGTTGCCGATGACGGTCTGACCAGATGTCGCGTGGTCCAAGAAAGTCCGATCCTGGCCGCCTGGACCCTGAAACGCCATCCCAACGCGGATGCGCTAAGACGCGTGGTCATCTGAAACTACTGCAGGCGTCGAGGGCAAACTTCACCGAACGAATCACTCCTCCACCTCATTTCCAATTCCCATACTCACGCTCGGTCAGAAAATCCCGAACGAATTGCATAGAGCTTCTTACTTACGCTGTTGGGCAATTTAAAAGAAGTGTTGATTGCAGTGGAAGACGTCCCGTAGCCACTCAGCGCACTCCTCTGTGAACGGTCGTCTATAAGCTTCTGTGGCAGCTGCATGAGTCGCGTTCTTGACTTCATCAGAGTTCAATGTCTTGCCGCGACATCTGCAATAGTGAGCAGTTCGTGCTAACGTACAATATGATCGTCAAGAAGAGTAGGAGTTTCACTGGTGGTATTGTTCGTCATAAGATTTGATCTCATATATCATACATCCCTCATAGCCATGATTCCCTGTCCGTGGGCCTTGGTACTCTTCTGATCCTCGGATAACTTGACTCTTTGAACCCGCATTTATTTAGCGTTGTTCTTGGGCGCCTCGGTAGGTGGTCCGTCAGGCGTGGTGTAACACCTGGTCATGCCACCATCGATGACGAAATCGGTGCCGTTGACGAAGCTGCTCTCATCGCTGGCGAGGAAGAGGACACCCTGAGCCTGCTCTATGGCCTCACCGAAGCGACCAGTGGGGAAGTGGACTTCGCGACGGTGACGCTTAGCCTGGTCGTCACCAAGCCAATCTTGCAGGAGTGGTGTGCTATTCATGTTAGTATGTCATGAGTAGCACGTTGGTTGGGAAAGAACCTACTTCAACGGAGCTGGGCATAGCGCGTTGAACCTGAAGCCCTCACGTGCGTGAACCATAGCCAACTCCCGTGTCATAGCCAGTACGGCACCCTTGCTGGCGGTGTATGCGAGCTGTGGGGTTGCGCTACCGACCAATGCGACAACGCTGGCGGTGTTGATGACACTGGTCTTCTTCTTGCCGTTCTTCCTGAAGCTGTTGACTGCGTGCTTGCAGCCGAACCATACACCCTTGACGTTGATGGCTTGTGTCAGGTCCCAGATCTTCTCGGGTGTGTTGACAGCGTCATCGTCGTCTGAGTGCATAATGCCTGCGTTGTTGAAGAGTACATCCAGACCACCCCATGAGTCCACGTGCTCAACCATAGCCTGCACATCGGCCTCCTTGGAAACATCGGTAATCTTAGTCTCGACCTTTTTGGCCTCTGGAACAATCTCTTTCAGCTTGGCCGAAGCCTTCTCCAGGGCTGGGCCGGAAATATCAGAGAGAAGAACATTGGCGCCTTCCCGAGCAAAGAGGATGGCAGTCTCGAGACCGATACCGCTAGTGATTGTCAGTACGTATGCGGCATGATTCTGCGTGTGCTGCTCCCCGCGTTGAAAAATGATCACATTGGCGTTGAAGCCAGTAATGAAACATGGTCAAAAGGGTATATGACTGCAAAAGAAATGCTGATAGAAAATCTGTCGTGGGACGTGCGGGATCGGTGCTTACCCAGCGCCTCCAGTGATGATGCAGTTCCTGCCTTCAAGACGACCCATGTTGAATGTTTGGTCTGGTTATTGTGCTGATAGAAGTGTAGTGAAGGTGCTGCAATGCGGTCAATGGATATGAAGGGTGAGGCAAAGTTTTGTGGAAGCTGTGAGATATGACTAATATTTTGCTAGAGGAAGCGTCATGAGAACAACACGCGGGCCTGTGAATGGGGAAGGTTTGCCAAAGGCGCAAACAGTGCCAGTCTCCACACTCACCTATGAATCGGACTTTGCAGTGCGGGCTGGCGTATGAGGAGCGTTGTCGGAATGGAGAGTGCGAGGAGATGGAGATGACGAACGGGTAGTCTCGGACAGCGTGCAAGTCATTCAAACATCAAGGGTCCCGAAATCGGCCCATTGCATTGATAGACTACGATAAGGGCGGGCTATCGCGTTGGCGGCTGTCATCTTTGGGCACACGACGAAGGAGCGGTGGGCGAAGGCACGATAGCAGCCTCGAATTAACATCTGTCCTACACGGCATGGATGCGCCAAACGCCGTTAGACGTCAGGGC